TTTTTTCAGCGTTTTTCCAATCTTCTTACTACGTCATACATTATTGTTATTATTATTATTACTATTATTATTATTATTATTATTATTATTATTATTATTATTATTATTATTATTATTATTATTATTATTACTGCATCTTTGTATGACCCTTATGTTTTTAGTGCTTAGTTATGATTGTAATAATAATATTATTATATTACATTCACAGGGTATCACTGAACCCATAAGGGTCATGCAGCGTCTGAGGAAATGTTAGGCAATCAAGTTCGATCCAAGGATGAGGAAGACAGGTTCAATTCCTTGGATCAAGAGCCCCTCAACACAATGATTCACTGCCTGGTCATGGACCGGGCCGCGGGGGAGTTGACCCCTGGAATACTCCAGGTATACTGACGTGGAGGCTTCAATGAGTAAGGAATTCATTAACTTAGCCTGACACCCTAGCTAAAGTGTATCAAGGATCACACTAACTTAGTTCAGATACCCAAGTTACAGTGCGTCACGGATCTCAATAACTTAGCTCTAACACCCAAGTTACAGTGCGTCAAGGATCACACTAACTTAGTTCAGATACCCAAGTTACAGTGCGTCAAGGATCACACTAACTTAGTTCAGATACCCAAGTTACAGTGCGTCAAGGATCTCACTAACTTAGCCCTGACAACTAAATTCAAGTACGTCATGTGTGTGTGTAAATTTGTCCAGTTATGTTTTTTGTGTGAATAAGAATAATGTTTAGGCCCGTTCAATGTAAAATGTTGGGTCGATAAATGCGTAACCGGGGGGGAAGGGAAGCTATTAATAGCTGGTTGGTTGTATGGAGATGGAAAGGATGGATGGATGGAGGGGGTGTGGGAGAGAGGAAAGCAGTGGAGGGGATGAGGAAGAGAGGTAAGCGATGGAGGGGGGTCAGAGAGTGGTAGTGGGCGAGGGAGATGATGAGGGAGAGAGGGAACGAAAGGAAGGAGGGGTGAGGGATAGAGAGGAGGAGAGGGGTGAGGTGAGGGAGAGTAAGAAGGGGAAATAATGAGGAAGTGAGGAAAGGAGGGAGATGAAGGAAAGGGTAGGAGGGGGGGCTGAGAGAGAGTGGAATCCACTTTTTCTCTTTCACTTACAGCTCTTGCTCTTCTCTACCCGACGTCTAGCGAGGATATTTCTTCCTTATTCAAGAGCAGCCAGTAAATTCTGTTTACTTACTGAGATAGGATACGACCCAGCACACACACAAGCCAAACGGGCATAGGTATATATATATATATATATATATATATATATATATATATATTATATATATATATATATATATAATATATATATATATATATATATATATATATATATATATATATAAGCAAACAATCGCAGACGGGCGATTTTAACTATGCAAGACAAGCCACGGGGGGTGGAAATCTACAGCTCAGGTACTTTCACACTTCTTAGTGCATCATCAGGGACTGTGCAACATTGCAAAAGAGCAACTAAAGCAGGGAGAGTTCTCAGGGTAGCGTAGTGCGGATGTCTCACCGTCCACGGTTTCCCGCACTACGCTACCCTGATGATGCACTGAGAAGTGTGGAAGTACTTGAGCTGCAGATTTCCCTCCCCCGTGGCTTGTCTTGATGTTGACACGACAGTTCCTGTAGATCTGTAGGCTGCACATTCATGCTGCGAATCTTCCGATTCACCACATCCCAAAGGTATACGCCAAATTCTGACTCTACCATCAGTATGTTGCATCAGAAAACGCGATTCGTCAGACCAAATACTTTTCCAGTCTTCAACTGTTCAGTTTTGGCGAAGCTGTGCCCACTGTAGCCTTAGTTTCTGTTCACAGCTGCTAAGAGAGGAACCTACCGTGGTCTGCTGCTGCTACAACCCATCCACTTAAAGGTTCGACATGTTGGGCGTACATACCACTGTTGTAATGCGTAGTTATTTGAGCTACAGTCGCATTTATGTCAACACCAACCTGGCCATTTTCCTCTTCTAACCTCTCATTAACAGGGCGTTTTCGCCCACAGAACTGCCACTCAATGGATGTTTTGTGTTTTTTCATACAATTCTTTGTAAACTCCAGATATTATTGTGCGTGAAAATCACAGATCAGCAGTGTCTGAGATATTCAAACCACCTCGTCTGACACCAACAATCTTTCCACAGTCAAAGTCACTTTGATCACATTTCTTCCCCATTCTGATGTTTGGTCTCAACAACAACTGAACCTCTTGATCAGGTGTCCCGTAGCTCGATTGCTAACCGACTCAGCTCACACACAGAGGTCCGGGGTTCGAATCATATTCGAGGCATATTCCCCTAAGAAAGAAGAAGAGCAGGAGTAAACTGGAGAGAAAAAGACGCTCCCTCTACAGAAGACGACGAAGAGTCACTGAGCTCCTCAGGAGTGCTAGAATATCTGATACACGAAAGGAGGCGCTGACCAGGGAAGTGGAAACTATCGAACTTAAGCTAAATGACTCTTACAGGAACCAGGAGAGGCAGGAGGAGCTTAAAGCTATTAGTGAAATTGAAAGAAATTCAAAATATTTCTTTTCATATGCCAAAAACAAGGCAAATACCACATCTAGTATCGGGCCCTTACTCAGACAGGATGGGACTTACACAGATGACAACAAGGAAATGAGTGAAATATTGAAATCCCAGTACGACTCTGTGTTTAGTGAACCACTAATCGGTCTGAGGATCGACGACCCAAATGATTTCTTCATGAATGAGCCTCAAAACTCCATAAATATATGCCAGATTTCCGACATTACCCTAACTCCGATAGATTTCGAAAAAGCCATTGACAACATGCCTATGCACTCAGCCCCGGGCCCAGACTCGTGGAACTCTGTTTTCATTAAGAACTGCAAGAAACCCCTCTCGCGTGCCCTAAGTACACTATGGAGGAGGAGCTTGGACATGGGTGAAATTCCACAGTTACTTAAAACAACGGATATAGCCCCACTCCATAAAGGTGGCAGCAAAGCATTAGCTAAGAACTATAGACCAATAGCTCTGACGTCCCACATCATAAAAATCTTTGAAAGAGTGCTAAGAAGCAGGATTGCAAATCACCTGGATTCCCAAAATCTGCACAATCCAGGGCAACATGGGTTCAGGGCAGGTCGCTCCTGCCTCTCACAACTACTGGATCACTATGACATGGCCTTGGATGCACTGGAAGAAAATCAGAATGCAGATGTAATATACACAGACTTTGCAAAAGCATTTGACAAATGCGATCATGGCGTAATAGCCCATAAAATACGTGCTAAAGGAATAACTGGGAAAGTGGGTAGATGGATCTTCAACTTCCTAACAAATCGAACACAAAGAGTAGTGGTCAACAGAGTTAAATCGGAGGCTGCCATAGTGAAGAGCTCTGTTCCACAAGGCACAGTACTCGCCCCCATCTTATTCCTTATCCTCATATCAGACATAAACAGAGATATACACCACAGCACCGTATCATCCTTTGCGGATGATACTAGGATCTGCATGAGGCTGTCATCTGCTGTTAACCTCCAAGAAAATATAAACAAAGTTTTCCAGTGGGCAACGGTAAACAATATGATGTTCAATGAGGACAAATTCCAACTACTCCGTTATGGAAAACTGGAGGAGATAATAACTAGAACAGAGTATACTACTGACTCCGGCCATACAATAGAGCGGAAAAATAATGTAAGGGACCTGGGAGTAGTAATGTCTGAGGATCTCACTTTCAAGGATCACAACAGTGCCACGATCGCACGTGCAAAGAAAATGATTGGATGGATAATGAGAACTTTCAAAATGAGAGATGCCAAGCCCATGATGATCCTTTTCAAATCACTTGTTCTCTCTAGGCTGGAATACTGCTGTACATTAACATCTCCATTCAAAGCAGGTGAAATCGCAGATCTAGAGAGTGTACAGAGATCCTTTACTGCACGTATAAGTTCTGTCAAGCACCTTAACTACTGGGAACGCTTGGAAGCACTTGACTTGTACTCGTTGGAACGCAGGAGGGAGAATATATCATAATCTACACTTGGAAAATCTTGGAAGGAATGGTCCCAAATCTGCACACAGAAATCACTCCCTAGGAAAGTAAAAGACTGGGCAGGCGATGCAAAATGCCCCCAATAAAAAGTAGGGGCGCCATTGGTACACTAAGGGAAAACACCATAAGTGTCCGGGGCCCAAAACTGTTCAACAGCCTCCCATCAAGCATTAGGGGAATTGCCAATAAACCCCTGGCTGCCTTCAAGAGAGAGCTGGACAGATACCTAAAGTCAGTGCCGGATCAGCCGGGCTGTGGCTCGTACGTCGGACTGCGTGCGGCCAGCAGTAACAGCCTAGTTGATCAGGCCCTGATCCATCGGGAGGCCTGGTCATGGACCGGGCCGCGGGGGCGTTGATCCCCGGAATAACCTCCAGGTATCCAGGTAACCTCCGGTACGGCTGGAAAACATTAGGGACGTGTTTCCATAAGACACCTGCTGTCCCTGTCCCTGTTCACCCATCAGTTTAAAATGGGCACGTGGGTGTTAGTCGACTGGTGTGGGTCGCATCCTGGGACAAGGTCAGGAACAATGAACTGGTTACACTTATTTCTGCATGTAATTATAGAAACAGGAGTTTTCAGTTGTTTCAAATGCATGTGGGTGTAACACATATTGAGAGAAATGCCCAGCACAGAGTAAAACCGAATAAAAAGGTTGCGAGAGAGATGAAATGGGTAGGAGTTTCAATACTGAAGTCAGGTGAATCTAACAGAACGAGAGTACTAGTGCTAATAGTGTAGTGGTACGGGCATATAAAAAATGCATCAATGAAAGCCGTATATACGTACTTTTAAATTCAAGAAATTTTAGACTAGTAGTAGGCTGTGAGAAGTGGGTAGAATTGTTTACCCACCTGAAGGTGAGAAGTGTGATGTTAAGTGAGTTTTCGAAGTCAGAAAAATATCAAGTGCAAAAATAATAATGAAAAATACATGGAATATGACTTACCGAGTAGAGATAAAGGTTTTTCTCGTAGCCACTCATCTCTTTCATGTCCACCATGAAAGGCTTGTCGTCAGGACCGTCTGAAAAATGAATATCGACATTAAAATTTATTCTATAGCTTGTAAACAGTTAATGATATCATTAAAAATATATTGGGGAGTGAATTCAAAATATAAGGATTAAATCCAAATAAATAGTTAATGATATCATTAAAATATATGGAGGACTAAAGTCAAAATATGAAGATTAAATCCAAATGAATTTTTAATGCAATGGTTTTATTATATTTTACTCGGAGTGCCTGAATAAATGCAACCTGGATATAAGGAGAGCAGATTTTTGTTTTTGCAGAAAAAAAAAAACAGTCGAGGAGCAGGAGCAAAATATTTAATTAAAATTTATAAAAAAAGCAAATTTAATGTGAAAGAAAAAATTAACTACAAAATCACGGAATGAGAGGAAGAAATGTGTAAAGCAATATATATGAATATCTTTAAAGTATACTTTAATCCCAGCTATTAAATGAGATAAAGCTAACTGAAATCACAAAGAGAGGGAGTAATACCACTTGAGATATCACCATGGGCGAGAGAGCGGACCACCAGTACTAACAGCCTGGTTGACCAGGAAACCACCAGACGAACCTGGCCCATTAATAATTCAAGAGTTGTTCACAATATATTTAGAAAGCAAGAGGTGTTATGAAGACCATCAGGATCTATGAGGTGTTCTCAAGATCATCAGGATCTATGAGGTGTTCTCAAGACCATCAGGATCTATGAGGTGTTCTCAAGACCATCAGGATCTATGAGGTGTTCTCAAGACCATCAGGATCTATGAGGTGTTCTCAAGACCATCAGGATCTATGAGGTGTTCTCAAGACCATCAGGATCTATGAGGTGTTCTCAAGACCATCAGGATCTATGAGGTGTTCTCAAGACCATCAGGATCTATGAGGTGTTCTCAAGACCATCAGGATCTATGAGGTGTTCTCAAGACCATCAGGATCTATGAGGTGTTCTCAAGACCATCAGGATCTATGAGGTGTTCTCAAGACCATCAGGATCTATGAGGTGTTCTCAAGACCATCAGGATCTATGAGGTGTTCTCAAGACCATCAGGATCTATGAGGTGTTCTCAAGACCATCAGGATCTATGAGGTGTTCTCAAGACCATCAGGATCTATGAGGTGTTCTCAAGACCATCAGGATCTATGAGGTGTTCTCAAGACCATCAGGATCTATGAGGTGTTCTCAAGACCATCAGGATCTATGGGGTGTTCTCAAGACCATCAGGATCTATGAGGTGTTCTCAAGACCATCAGGATCTATGAGGTGTTCTCAAGACCATCAGGATCTATGAGATGTTCTCAAGACCATCAGGATCTATGAGGTGTTCTCAAGACCATCAGGATCTATGAGGTGTTCTCAAGACCATCAGGATCTATGAGGTGTTCTCAAGACCATCAGGATCTATGAGGTGTTCTCAAGACCATCAGGATCTATGAGGTGTTCTCAAGACCATCAGGATCTATGAGGTGTTCTCAAGACCATCAGGATCTATGAGGTGTTCTCAAGACCATCAGGATCTATGAGGTGTTCTCAAGACCATCAGGATCTATGAGGTGTTCTCAAGACCATCAGGATCTATGAGGTGTTCTCAAGACCATCAGGATCTATGAGGTGTTCTCAAGACCATCAGGATCTATGAGGTGTTCTCAAGACCATCAGGATCTATGAGGTGTTCTCAAGACCATCAGGATCTATGAGGTGTTCTCAAGACCATCAGGATCTATGAGGTGTTCTCAAGACCATCAGGATCTATGAGGTGTTCTCAAGACCATCAGGATCTATGAGGTGTTCTCAAGACCATCAGGATCTATGAGGTGTTCTCAAGACCATCAGGATCTATGAGGTGTTCTCAAGACCATCAGGATCTATGAGGTGTTCTCAAGACCATCAAGATCTATGAGGTGTTTTCAAGACCATCAGGATCTATGAGGTGTTCTCAAGACCATCAGGATCTATGAGGTGTTCTCAAGACCATCAGGATCTATGAGGTGTTCTCAAGACCATCAGGATCTATGAGGTGTTCTCAAGACCATCAGGATCTATGAGGTGTTCTCAAGACCATCAGGATCTATGAGGTGTTCTCAAGACCATCAGGATCTATGAGGTGTTCTCAAGACCATCAGGATCTATGAGGTGTTCTCAAGACCATCAAGATCTATGAGGTGTTTTCAAGACCATCAGGATCTATGAGGTGTTCTCAAGACCATCAGGATCTATGAGGTGTTTTTAAGACCATCAGGATCTATGAGGTGTTCTCAAGACCATCAGGATCTATGAGGTGTTCTCAAGACCATCAGGATCTATGAGGTGTTCTTAAGACCATCAGGATCTATGAGGTGTTCTCAAGACCATCAGGATCTATGAGGTGTTCTCAAGACCATCAGGATCTATGAGGTGTTCTTAAGACCATCAGGATCTATGAGGTGTTCTCAAGACCATCAGGATCTATGAGGTGTTTTTAAGACCATCAGCAACCAAGGTGTTCTCAAGACAATCATAATCCAATATAAGAAGCAAAGTACAAAAAACAGGTGTAATAACAAACTCATTAATAGTAATAACAGATTTATGAGCAGAGGAAGAAATCGTTATAAAACGCGTTACAACAGATATAAAACAGTATAGTTAAAATATTTAATACAATAAAAATAATAATCTGTTAATGTCATCATATAACTTAAGTTTCATAAAAAAAATATTTAAGTCCACCTCTCGCGTCTGAATAAGTTTAAATTCTGCGAAATTCTTAATAATACGGTAAGTTATGGTCAAACTTCTATAATACAGTTTTAAACGCAAGTTTGCCAGAACATCTTTCAAGTTAATGATAATAAACAGACCTAAATTTTTACACATTTACGAAAACATTTTACATTAATTCTAAGTCAAACACTCACCCAGAAGACTAAACTTTCCCAAAGATAGATTGAAATAGATATAAACAGATAGACACAACAAAGAAGGCTTGGGGGGGGGATAATGGGGTTAGCTTACAGACACTGGTTGCGGGTTTAATCTTGTATTCGTCCTGCCATATTTCTTCTTCCTTGCTGGTTCTTCGTTCAACTGTCTCCTCTTCCTCCTCAAGTTTCTTGAAGGAGAAGAGGGAGGCGAGTTTGCCTACCATGGTCGTCCCTCTCCAACAATCCCTACTCAAATAATAGTTTCTTATATCAAGCTTATTTTCTTTCCAGGCCTATTAAAAATATAATGTACCTATAATACTAATAATTCTAGTATTAAATAAATTTAGTATCGTATAAAAAAGACACAGCTGCTTTAATTAAATAAATTACACTTCAGCATTAAATAATACTAAGAATTATTATTATTATTATTATTATTATTATTATTATTATATCATTATTATTATTATTATTATTATATTATTATTATTATTATTATTATTATTATTATTATTATTATTATTATATCATTATTATTATTATTATTATTATTGTTATTATTATTATTATTATTATTATTATTATTATTATTGCAAAATCCTCTAAATACGAAAACCTACTTATTTTTTTTTCAGAATTAGAAATCGCGGATTTATAGACTATTTTACAATCTAACTCGCATTACGGCACAACATACTATTCGACACAAATCTAGAAAACACTAATACTATTAGGAATCAAAAAAATGTTCTTTGGAATACATTTCACAAATGGAACTAATAAACTTTTCTCGAGGAAATCACTAATGGCTTGTATCATATTCTTTCTATTCAGCGTTGTATTTCACACAAACTATAACAATCTCACGTAATGTAATCACAAAATATCGTATAGTTATCACTATTATACACAGGATATATACACCGAGAGGTGTATGAGTGAGTGTATATTATAGGACTCAGTATATTCAACTGGTAGTGAAGAGGTGACATGCAGTCTTCAAGACCGTGTGGTCGACAGGCTTTAAAACCCATTAACCAATAGCAATTATATCAAATATATTGGTGTATATTAGACTCCAAACCTAGAGAATAACACAAGACAACTGGTGATGCGCACACAGCACTATGCACTGGTGTTATCTTTACCACCTCCCTCTATCACCATCTTATCAGTTAATCTATATTCATGGCGGTCACATTTCTTGTAGCATATCAGTAACACGTCATATGAATGACAAACACACCAAGCTTGTCCACAGCCAATCACAATTCACGTGTAAGCAAAAGCCTCGTGTGATTGGCTGATTTATGGATACAATGTGATTGGCTGATTTATGGATACAATAACTGGATGACTGGCTGCCTGCGTCAAGCTTGTCCTTATACCTGTGACCTGTCATAATTATGTGATGAGTTTCGAGCGTCTTCCTCTATAGCCACAGCCTGGCTTTGGGCCAGGTTTTTCTGTTGATTCCCTGGTCAACTAGGCTGTTGCTGTTCGCGACTCGCTGTCGTTGTCATCTGATCAATCTGTATTTATTTCTCTCGTTAAGAGCTGACTGATAATTACTATGATCGACTGATTTAATAATAATATAGTTTTGTTTAAACTAAGAAATAACTTAAAATTTAAAATCGCCACTGATTCTCTGTTTTGTTAAACGGGATCAAACTAAACTTTTCCTTTGTTGCAAACGTCAATAACTATATTCACGGTGAAGAGTTAAACCCGTAAGGTTTATACATTCAGGGCCGGATTAAGGCATGGGCTTTAGGGGCTGCAGCCCAGGGTCCTCCGCCAGCTGGAGGGCCTCCAGGGGCTGCAGCCCAGGGTCCTCACAGTACCTGTAGCCCAGGGGCCACACAGTACCTGTAGCCCAGGGCTTCACAGTACCTGTAGCCCAGGGCCTCAGTACCTGTAGCCCAGGGACCTCACAGTGCCTGTAGCCCAGGGGCCACACAGTACCTGTAGCCCAGGGCTTCACAGTACCTGTAGCCCAGGGGCCACACAGTACCTGTAGCCCAGGGGCCACACAGTACCTGTAGCCCAGGGCTTCACAGTACCTGTAGCCCAGGGCCTCAGTACCTGTAGCCCAGGGAC